AAATTATTAATATTAATTATTATAGATTGTACACTTATTTAAATGATATAATTATTGTAAATTACCTATATATATATATATATATATATATATACACACAATAAAATATGAATAATAATTTAATAATAATTTATTTTAATTTTTTTCAAAAAACTGTGGCAGTGTAAATATATTTTACTTGTGCTCCACAAAAGAAATAAAACTGTACAGGTTTTGAATGACGTGAGGGTGAGTAAATGATGACAGAATTAAAATTTTTGGGTGAAATGAGTAATGAATTTAAAATAAATTACATTTGGTTTAATTAGAATGATGACAGGGCTATAGACTTTGCACGAGACTTAGCATTTTTCAGTAACCCCTTAATTATTTTCAGATAATTTTGCAGAATCTGCAAATGTGACGAGCAGTGTGCTTGCGTTATGCAGTGCCACCGAATTCACTGTTATCTACTGCATATTAAAGAATCCCGCACCGCTGACTCTACAGCGTTAGATGAAGCTTCCCAGCATGAAATAGAACCTCCCCCTCTTCTCGCATATTCTTGCTGAGAGAAGTTCTGTCCGTTTCTTCCTTACACAACACAAACACACTATTAGCATCTTGACACGTGTGTTCGCTCTGATCCCGTGTCCTAAAGCAATACGACACGGCATTAGGGAAACCCTAAAACCTCATCAAACCACAACCAGATTACCCCAACTATGGAATATGTATGAATATGGATGAGCATTAAACTTCTTTTACGGAAATCCGACCTTCAGGGGGCTTTATTATTCAAGCGCTCTGCACGACGAATCAAAATGACTTTCAACTCTCCCGATGCCCGTAATGGGGCAATTTGCCTAAGTGGTTCGACAGCATTTGAAGAAAGTTCGGCGCTCAGGCTGAATGTGGAAGAAACGGGGGTCTCTCGGGTCATTTGACGTCTTCACGGTGATTAAGGGAGAGAGAGAGAGAGGAGAAAGTGTGCAGTGAAACTTGTTTTCCCAGTCTGACGGCCCGGAGGGAGCCTGCAGCCACAGATTAATGGATGGAATGGGAACTGAAAATAACTCTGCATTTGTAACACATGACTTTTGTCATGTTTGCTGATGATTGGCATTCCGCTTTCTTGTTACCCACCATGCAGCGGAGTAAACACAATTGTAATGGTGTCAAAGCAATTCCGTCGTTTACCTTGACAGGAAAATAAACGTGTTATTCAGAACAGCACCTCAAATGCAGTGAGTCTTAAAAAGAGTTCTGTCATTATTTACACACCCTTGTTTCGTTCCAAACCCATATACTTCAACTTTTTTTTTTTTCCTGTAGAACGTAAAAGTAGAACTTTTTAAAGAAACATCTCTCGACATGCAATGACTTTCAAGCTCCAAAAAAAACGAAAACAAATCACCATTAAAGTAGTTAAATATGGCTTATATGCTGTATTTTAAGTCTTCTGAAATCTTACAATAGTCATTGTTCACCGATAATTTGCATTGCTGCATGTTTTTGCAAGAATCTGTTTCTCACACAAAGCCATCGTATTGCTTTTATAGTGTTTTCGTTGTGTTTTTTTTTTTTACCTTTTCTTCAGCTTTTTTTTAACCATGCTGCTTAATCTTTTCCACTAATGCCTGCAAACGGAATCATGTTGACCCAAATTGCAGATGTGGGTTTGCAGTCTGAACTGAATGTGACAAGATAAAAAGACTATAAAATAATGACAAGAAAACACGTCTTTCTCACAAGCTGCATGCAAAAAATAAATGCAACAAAAAAAGTGTAATTCGATAAACAAACAAATGACTCTTAAGAGTCGATTCATTAGCAAATGACTTTTTTAACCCGTTCTTTTAAGGAATTGTTTAGAAAGACTTAGAAATCCAAAATATAATGATCCATTTTTTAAAATGTTTTTGAAAGAAGTCTCTTATGCTCACCAAGGCTGCATATATTTGATCAGAAATACTATTAATAATATAATGATTTAAATGAACTGTGTTCTATTTTAATATACTTTTAAATGTAATGTATTTCTGTGATGGCGAAGCTGAATTTTCAGCATCATTACTCCGGTCTTCACATGATCCTTCAGAAATCATTCTAATGTGCTGATTTGCTGCTCAGGAATTTCATTAATCATCAATGTTGAAAAAAGGAAACTTTTTTGATGTTCACATGAAAATGTGAAAAAATAAGACAATAAGATTCCTCAGAACTTTCT